TGTTGTTGCCAGAATATTTTTACTAATCTCGCTTTTATCATTATCTCTCCAATTCTTTTGTTTCTTTTTTTTTAAGGTCTGAATGAAGTTTTAGAATTGCTGATGACATCATCAGGTACCCATCAGGTAACGGTGTTCAGGTACCCATCAGGTAACGGTGTTCAGGTACCCATCAGGTAACGGTGTTCAGGTACCCATCAGGTAACGGTGTTCAGGTACCCATCAGGTAACGGTGTTCAGGTACCCATCAGGTAACGGTGTTCAGGTACCCATCAGGTAACGGTGTTCAGGTACCCATCAGGTAACGTTCAGATAAACTTATGGTAATACGTAATCAATCTTATCATTCAGATTCATACTGATTCATTCATTACTTAAGATTCTCTTAATTTCAGTTTGCATCGTTCATTTTTTGCTTCCATCAGAGGCAGAATATAAATGAAAGAGGTTCGATAAATTCAAATATATTTTATTACAGAATAAAAGTGTAATTAATACATAATAATAATATATAAATCTTTGGCTTGGTGGTCCTGGTGAGGACAATATGGCTTAATAACTAGACTAGTGACCAACATAGGAACACATCAAGGTAGTGAGCTCGCTGACTAGGTAGGACATGGGTGGACTAGGCCTCCCTGGTGGGGGGAATAGAGGGGCAACTCCTGGAGAATCTGGGGGGGACTGGAGGGGGAAGAGGATGCCTTGAAGGAACTGCTACTGGTCCTCCTCGGTGGGGCTGGCTGGGGGCTGCTCCTGCTGCTGTACGTCCTGATGCTGTAGTTCCTGTAGCTGGTGCTCCAGGTTGGGGTGAGGTCTGGCTGGGCAGGCTGCCTCCGTGTGTTTGTTAAGCAGAGACATCCTGGAGAAGGTCTTGTGACAGGTGACACAGGCGTACTTCTTGATGTCAGCGTGGGTCTGGAGGTGAGCCCGCAGGTTGCTGCGGTCAGCGAAGCAGCGGTCACACTGCGGGCACTGGAAGGGTTTCTCTCCGGTGTGGGTCCTGATGTGGCCCTGCAGCAGCCAGGGCCGCGAGAAGGCCTTGCCACATAGGTGACACTTGCAGGGTAGCGTGTGGGTGCGTATATGCATCTTGAGAGCACCCAGGCTGGTATACACCTTGTCGCAGTGCTTGCACGAGAACGACTTGGCTCCCAGCGCGGCACAGTGGAACTGCTTGTGCTTGCTTAGACCAGAGTACGTAGAGTATGACTTGCTGCAGTCACTGCAAGAGTACCGAGCCTCTCGACGTTGTCTAGAGACTCCAGCATCGTCCTCAGACTCGGAAGCTGTGGAGGAGCAGGTGGAGACGGGTGAGATGAGGGCAGAGGTATCTGGGTAGCAGTGGAACGGCACTGGACTGATGGGCAAGTGATCAGAGGTGACGGGTGAGGCTTGAGGTGAAGGCGGCAGGTACGGGGTGTTCCACTGTGGCAGGGTAGGTCGGGGCTCCACTCGACGGGGCTCCGGGGCGTCTGACGTGCTCCTGAAGAGCTGCAGGTAGTACTCTGCAAGGGATGGAAGAGTTTCGGCCACCCTGGCTGCAGGGGGTGAAGGAGGTGCGTGGCGAGGCACTGAATGGAGCACTGTTGGCACTGCCGCTGTGGGCGGGGAGGGGATGGGGGGCCACAGAGGAAGTTCTGCAGCAGGTGGACACACTGCTGGAGTCGTTGTAGGTGCTTCTGCAGGAGACTCCAAGCGCGGCCGTTTCACGCTAAGATCCTCGGGCTGGTCCTGCTCAGGGGGCGACGTGGCTGGCTCGTTGTATAAAGCCAAAGGTCGTTTCTTGAGCGGACAGTGCGCATAGTTGCGCTTAACCATGAATGAGCTTGGCATGGTGTCTCTCACAACTCATTGACTAACACGAGAGGCGTAGTGAACTTTACAGTGGGTTTAACTGTTCTGGAGAGAACGACGCGTGCTCTGCCTTATATACTCTCCCAGGAAGCAGGTGCAGAAGGAGAGTGCCGTCGGCCAATCAGGTGTGGAAGGCGGGGCTTCACCGCTCGTGCCTGATAGCATGACACCGCCCAAGATTTCACATATATAGTTCCTAATTCATAGAAGTTTACCAATGTTTAAGTTAAATTCATATAACGTAATTGCTACGATAAATTGATGGGTTACTATTCTGTTTTTTTACAAATAAATTTTATTTGTCTCGAATACAGAATGAGTTTAATAGTGTCTGACGGTCATTGGCAAAAATCTTTGGTCTCCAGTCCCTGCCTCCTGCACCCAGTAGCCAATCAGCGAGCTTCCCGCCGCGTGAGGTACCCAATAGCAGCCAGGGAGTAACAGCTGTCGCGCGCCTGTGATGGCGGTTGACAGGTGTCACATGGCCACGACACTGGTATGCCCACGTGACCAAAGCCCTGTGTAAATACACTTTATTCCTAGCATACCACACATATGAGCAACAGAAAAACTAGAAACCTCAAGAAAACGAACTCAGCAACAAGCAATGTAGCAAAAAAAATAAAGTCAGCATACAACCCATAGTTGAAAATAATACACGAGTTGTGAGTAGCTGAGTTTGAGGGGAATTTGTGGTATTCTGGAGCCACGCGCCTCCAGGGAGATGACGTGTGGATAGAGGGGGTGAGAAAGGGAGACCAGGGGTAGGAAGCAAAGGGATGGGAGGGACAAGAAATGAGGGAGGGAGGGATAAGGAGGCGAGGGAAGAGATGAATAGCAGCGGTATACAACCAAGATGGTAGCGGCCAGATGGGCCGCCACTACCTTCCACGTTAAGCGGAAAAATCTTTGCCGATTTCCACAGTTCTAATTCTTGTATAATTTGACCCATTACAATAGACGAGCGAGATACCCATTATAACTGACGAGCCAGAGACCCATTACAAAGGACGTAGGGAAATCAAAATACAGGTACCAAAAATGCAGAAGAAACGTTATTACAACAGAAGTAACAATTTTCAAAATAAAGGAATTAAACGAAACTCAAAACATTAAAAAAAATATGATGGCAGAAAGGAAAACGGCGGCGTATTCTACAATTCCTTATTGCACAACTGTTAACATTAACGGCAAAGGTAACTACAACGTCAGCCGTTATAAGAAGAAAGTCTACCTCAGAGACATGTCACAAGGGGGAAAGGTATTTTGATACCGATGAAGAGCGTTTGATCCAAAGATGAGTAGCTACCCTCCCCTTCCTTGGATCAAACCTGATTACCCCCCCCCCCATCCCTCAGGCTGCATGTCCTTCTAATAAAAAAAATTTGCAATTAATGAGCATGGCACTGTGAGCGTATATGCCACTAATGGGAAACAAAAGAGAGGGAGCGACGAGTACACTGAGAGAGTGCAATAAGTGTAAAGGGACCACGGCTCTTCAACACCCTTCATGCATAAGTGGGAACATCAACAAACCCCCAGCTGTCTTGAAGAGAGAATTTGACAGGTTCCTCAAGTCAATTCCTGATCTGCTGAGCTATGGTGCATACGTTGGGCTGCGGACAGCGGGCACCAACAGCCTTATCGATCAGGCTAATAACCAGAAGACCTGGTCTAGAACCGGGCCGCGGGGGAAGGTGACTTCCGGGAGTACAGGTAACCAACAAGTTGTTCGCCAGGCAACACTTTAGGGACTTCGCCAGACAACAATTTAGGATCCATATGGAAAGGAAGATGGTAAACGCCGCGTGTAAGGCACAAGGATCTTTATTACCAGATAATGACGCTAAAATCTCTGACGGAGATACAGAACGGAATTCAAAATAGAAACAAAATAGAAACAAAATTACTGGGCGATGCAACAGAAGGATAGACATAAAGGTTCTGGGTAACGTAACAGATGTAGTTCAATAGATGCTTTGATCTTAGTTTTTTTTTTTTGTTTGGTTCAATAGATTCTAATTTCTATTTTTTTGAGCTAAGAGTTTGGATGATTCAATAGATGGTGAGATCCTGGGTAATAGACACATACTAAGTTCTTGTAGTGTTATTATGGCGTTATGAGGGAGCGTGAATCTGTGGCATCATACGAGCCTTGAGGAAACGGTGAAGTTTAAGTTGACCCATAAAAAGGGAGAACAGAATGTTCCTTGGATCAAGAGCCCATCGGGGGTATAAAGGCACCCCCTTGAGGGGAAAAAATTTATTGACATAATGTGGGTGAATAAGACACGTGAAAAGCTACATCTTATGGCGTAAATTTGCCTGGGGCCCACCATATCGTCAAGTGCAGAGATGAAATTTTTCCGGGGGTTTAAATTTGTCTTGCTAACTCTCAGCTTGCCTGTTTGTATCCTATTTAAAAAAAAGTGAAAGAAGCCTGGTCCGATTGTTGTAGATCCAAATTTACATGGACAACAGGGCACCTGGTCCTTAGACAGTAGATCCAAGCCTTCATGGTACATAGAAACCCCGGTTGATAGTAGTAGATCCCAGCTCTTAATGGTACAAATAGACACCATGGTTTCCCGATAGTACGTAGATCCCAAGCTCTTACTGGTACAATGACACCATGGTCCTGATGTACACTAGTCCCCAAGCTCTTAATGGGAAAAAAGACACTGGTCCTGTAGTACATAGATCCCCGCTTTCATGGTACAATAGAACCATGGTCCCGATTGTACAGTAGACCCCAAACTCTTACATGGTCAATAGACACCATGGGTTTATAGTATGTAGATCCAAACTCTTAATGGTCAAAGCACCAAGGTCCGTAGTACAGAGATCCCAGCTTTTACTGGTACAATAGACCCATGGGCCCGATAGTACATAGTCCCAAACTCTTACATGGTACAATAGACCCATGGTCCTGATAGTATAGTAGATCCCAAGCTCCTTCGGGGCAAAAGATACCCGGTCTGATAGAAAAGTATCCCAGGCTCTTACATGGTACAATAGACACCCTGGTCGATTTTAGTAGATCCCCCGCTTTACATGGTACAAAAGACACATGGTTTGATGAAGTTGATCCCAAGCTCTTAATGGTACAATAGACCCATGGTCCTGATAGTATATAGATCCAAACTCTTACTGGTCAATGACACCATGTCCTGAAGTACGTAGTCCCAAAACTTTAAATGGTACAAAAAGACACCATGGTTTCCCGATGTACGTAGTCCCAAGCTCTTACTGGGCAATAGCACCATGGTCCTGATAGTCGTGACCCAAGCTTTAATGGTTTTAAATAGACACCGGTCCTGTAGTACGAGATCCCCGCTCTTACATGGTACAAAAAGACACCTGATCCCGATAGTACAGTAGATCCCAAGCTCTACATGGTACAATAGACACCCTGGGCCTGATAGATGAGATCCCAAGCTCTTCTGGTCAATGACACCTGGTCCGATGTACAGTAGATCCCCAAACTCTTACATGGTACAATAGAACCTGGGCCGTAGAACTAGACCCAAGCTCTTACTGGTACAAAGGACCCAGGTCCTGTAGTACATAGATCCCAAGCTCTTACAGGTACAATGACACCCTGGTCCCGATAGTACAGTAGTCCCCAAATCTTCTTGGGACAATAGCCCATGGTCTGTAGTACTGTAGTTCCCAAGCTTTATGGTACAAAAGACCCTGGTTTCCCGATAGTACAGTAGATCCCCAAATTTACATGGTACAAAAAAGACACCCTGGGGCCCGATAGTACAGTAGATCCCAAGCTCTTACATGGTACAATGACACCTGGTCCTGTTTGTATTGTAGTCCCCCTCTTACTGGTACAATGTACCATGGTCCTGATAGAATAGTAGATCCCCGGGTCTTTCATGGTACAATAGACACCCCCCCCCCCCCCCCCCCCCCCGGCCTGATGTATAGTGTCCCCAAACTCTTACTGGTAAATAGACACCATGGTCCTGTAGAATAGTAGATCCCAAGCTTTAAAGGTACAAAAGACACCATGGTCCTGATGTATGTGATCCCCAAACTTTACATGGTACAATAGACACCATGGTCGATGTACAGTAGATCCCAAACTCTTACTGGTACAAAACACCATGGGCCTGATAGTAAGTAGATCCCCAACTTTAATGGTCAATAGACACCATGGTCCTGATAGTACAGTAGATCCCAAGCTCTTACATGGTACAATAGACACCATGGTCCTGATAGTACAGTAGATCCCAAGCTCTTACATGGTACAATAGACACCATGATCCTGATAGTACAGTAGATCCCAAGCTCTTACATGGTACAATAGACACCATGGTCCTGATAGTACAGTAATCCCAAGCTCTTACATGGTACAATAGACACCATGATCCTGATAGTACAGTAGATCCCAAGCTCTTACGTGGTACAATAGACACCATGGTCCTGATAGTACAGTAGATCCCAAACTCTTACATGGTACAATAGACACCATGATCCTGATAGTACAGTAGATCCCAAGCTCTTACATGGTACAATAGACACCATGGTCCTGATAGTACAGTAGATCCCAAGCTCTTACATGGTACAATAGACACCATGGTCCTGATAGTACAGTAGATCCCAAGCTCTTACATGGTACAATAGACACCATGGTCCTGATAGTACAGTAGATCCCAAGCTCTTACATGGTACAATTGTCATGTAGGGGGGTAATGATTGGGGGAATATGGGGGTAAGAGGAGGGAGTTAGTAGGTAGGGGACAGGCGAGGCAGTAGGAGGGATGAGTGCGGAGGTAGGTAATGTGAGGTCACTGGTGACTACACCTTCACCTCTCATACTCTACCCACCACACTCCACCACTCACCCTCACTACTTTAACTAAACATAAATAAATGGAGAAAATAACGGGGACAGTGAATATTCCTATTCTACTCAAACACAGTTTATTATTAAGTCTTTGTACAATAATATATTTGGGAACAGGAGTACATCATGGGTTTAGATAAATGGGGTGGTACACATAAGCAGTGAGACAGGGAAATACAATCAACTTGACGAAAATGAATATAACTTACAATATAGCACAGAGGACAGTTCACTACAGGAACTAAGCCACAGGTCCCAAGACCTACACAGCACGAGTACGGCGCCAAGCCAGTACTCTGCCCAATGCCTCCAACAGTCTCCTCCAGAGACTTCAGCAGCCTTCTCCCGAGCCCTGCACCCCAGCAGCAGCTCCTCTCGAAATGTCTCTGCTCAGAGCTCTGCACCCAGGCCAGAGCTC